CTACTATTGCGTCTGCAAGGAACCGTCCGGCGGAGCTGTTCCGGATTGTCAGAGGTCTTTTAACTCCCGCCATCCCAGGCGGGAGCCCTGACAATTCGGCCACATGCTGTGAAGCATTTGCTCGGTTCTTTGCAGACAAAGTCGCTTTGATCCGTTCTGGTCTAGACACCATGTTAAATGCAGTCTCTGAGGATGTGACACGAGCACCTGCTTGTCCTATTTTGATGGATTCTTTTCAATTTGTGAAGCCCGAGGATGTGGACAAGATACTTGGAGGAATGAGGCCCACTGCGTCCATCCTAGACCCCTGCCCATCCTGGCTTCTGAAGGAGGCCAGAGGGGGATTGGCTGAGTGGGTAACGGTGGTGGTTAACGCCTCCCTCCGGGAAGGCGAAATTCCAGCAAGCTTAAAACAAGCTATTATAAAACCGCTGTTGAAGAAACCATCACTGGACCCCACTAAATTTGACAACTTTCGGCCTGTTTCCAATCTCCCCTTTTTGGGCAAAGTCATGGAAAGCGTGGTGGCCTCACAACTCCAGGTATTCTTGAGAGACACGGATTATCTGGATCCGGCACAGTCTGGTTTCAGGCCGGGACATGGAACTGAGACGGTTATAAGGGTCTTCGAGGCTTATCAAGGCAGGGGGGAAACAATCAAAGAAATCCCACCGCTGCCACCAATTATAATAACTCAGAAGAGGCGTCTGGGCAGGGGGTCAAACGAATCCCACCACCGTCCTTCCTTAAATAAGGAATTCACACCACCTTGGTTCTAATAGTGCTTGAGGGGATGTCACGTTATGTAAAACTTTCGCTGCCACCAAAACTAAAGAAATCACGAACCCTCTAGCTATTTTTTAAAATGTTAAAAAGGCTGTTTAAATTATTAAAAGGCTTTTTATTCCACCAAAGGCTGTGTGTTATCAAGGGCTTTCTGTGAGGGGAAACAGAAGAGGTTGATTCAATAAGGAAAAGGATTCAAAACCAAAAATGGCACTTGACTCAGGCTTGACTTTTAAAAATAACAAGAAAGAGTTTATTGTTTACAAATTATAGATTTACAAGTGATATGCAGGTTCAGAGGCTTGATGGTTACAGATAAAAGTGTTCTTGTTTCTTATAAGCGTATTGGTTACTTGAGAGAATGTTCTTTTCTTAGTTACAATTTCTTAAACATAAAACCCCCAGCTATTTTCTTTCCCAAAATAGCTGTAACTCAGTCTGCCACAGCCTACTGTGCTGTGCAAACTACAGGCAAACTGCCTTTTCTTCACAGAGACTCCTAAACAATCCAACTCCTACTCTAATCTCTCTCCAGAACTAAACTGCTTTCACTCTACTCAGAACTCAGCTGAACTAAAAACTGAACTGTCAAAACTATCTCTTCTCTTTCCCTCCAACTGACTAACTCCGCCCCTCTTCCCTAAACCAATCCTGGCTGTTGCTGGGCTGGCACAGGCCTCGGCCACTCCCCCTTCTCTGAACTGGAGCTCTTTCCCTAAACTAAGATGGCTCCAGCAGCTCTCTGCCAGGCCTTCTAACTGAAACTACCTAGCCTGTCTCTTCCTGGGCCCTGCCACCCTGGCTGGCAAGGTAAGGGATCTTTACAACGGTCTTGGTCGCCTTAGTGGATGATCTGCGCCGGGAGCTAGACAGGGGGAGTGTGTCCCTGTTGGTGCTCCTGGACCTCTCAGCGGCCTTCGATACCGTCGACCACGGTATCCTTCTGGGGCGTTTTGCGGAAATGGGCCTCGGGGGCACTGTTCTGCAGTGGCTCCGGTCATTTCTGGAAGGCCGCTCCCAGAAGGTGATATTGGGGGACACCTGTTCAACGCCACAGCCTTTGACTTGTGGGGTTCCACAGGGCTCTATACTGTCCCCCANGCTCTTCGAGAGGGCATTTAACTAGTGCCAGACTAATTGATAATGACAATCGGAACGGAATATGGATTATGAAACTGGTAGGCTCCTATGTTGTGATGGTGCGGATTAGTTAGTATAATTTAGATTAATGTGTAATTATGGCTTGTTGATGTACTGTGTGTTTTTTGTAAACTGTTTTTATATGTTGTACACCGCCACGAGTCGCCCTAGGGCTGAGAGCGGCGGTCAACAAATGCATCAAATAAATAAATAAATAAATAACCATATTTAAGAAACTAGAGCAGATGCTGTCTATTCAATGCACATTTCTGAATCAGTGCCCCAAATAATTCCAAGAACAGCTCTAAAAACCAAGACACCAAGAAAAAATTTTTTGGGTCCATTGTATAATTATCAAGAATAGAGGAGTTCTGGAATGGTGTTTCAGTACAGGACTCACAAGTGCCTCCTTTTGGCAAATTAGAACACTGCCTGTTGTAAGGCGACATTGACCAACTCACTCACATAGCCAGTCTCTCTCTGGCCTGTTTGATAATTCTGGAAGGCCAAGGATCTAGATGCATGTGCGCGTGCACACAAATGCACATATCATGGCTCCCACCTCTCCAAGTACCCTATTCATATCCTCATGCTGTACAAATTGAAAAGTATCCAATAACACTGGACAAACAGAAGCTAAGCTTACATCCACTTGAATTGTATCAACAGCAGCATCCAAGTCAGAGCAGATCTAAGTAACTTTATCTGTAAAATGTTGTGCAAGTTCTTCATATCATGCTATCAAGGAGTGTGTGTTTTCTACTTGAGTAGCAGTTTGTAATAGACTTCTGGCCACTCAAAATAGCTCTGCTAGATGCCATTTAACTCATTAGGACTCCCAACCTGGCAAATACCCATTCATCCTGACAATCTGGACCTCTTATGAAGTAATGGGTCACACTCAGTGAAATGTGGACAGTGTCCAATCCTCTCAGAAAGGCTTACTGTGGCAGGTTGAGTACAGGTAATTTTAATTCAATCTGAGATAAGACTGTTCATTTCTGTGTGAAAATCCATGCCCTGTGGTCCATCTGTTTATTTTAGCATTGGTGGTCCATGTTCCAAATTGCAGGAAGGGCTCATAGGGTGAGGCTGAGACCAGGAGTCATCAGTTTGTCTCAAATTCAAGGAAGGTCCTTGAATCTTTTAAGACAACTATTTAAAACACATATGCATTTGTATGTATACATATACGTATTAATACAGTCAGTCAAGTGTAAATAATAGGAATGATTAATGCCACAATTGATGTTTGACGTGACTTTCTGTATATCATTGGATTTTGGACAAGAACACCAAATTTTGCACAACATACAAGAGTACAAATGTTTGCCAAAAAAAAATCAAAATGCAAAAAAATAGTAATCAAGCAATTATTTTCAGAAGAATGTGCAGTGTAATGGCATGACAATTTCGATTCATACTTCCTGCTAGGGAACACCCATCGAACCAACTGCTGAATTATGAATCAACACTTTGTTTAATCCCAGTGTTTCCAACAGCCCATTCAATAAAGAATCAAACCATAACAATTTAGAGTTTGATTTTAAAGGCTTACTATTACTGTTTTTTTAGAGTTCAAATTAGCTTTTCTTGAATTTTGCTTTTTTGACACACATTTGTGCTTAAAAAACACTTGAGTAATCATTTATTTCTAAATTTTAGATAATTGAGTACTGCCAATATCTGAAGCTATAAATATTGTTGTGTTGAATGCTTGAAAATCAGTTGGGAATTGGCTCTAACAAATCAAAAAAGGGCTTTGCAAATAGCTCTGATACATTTCCTGAAGGGTTTCTTGAGGTACTGTTTACCATTTCCAACGGTTCTCTTATCACACAAAAAAGTGAGGCTTTCTGCTTGCAAGGTGACCAATTATGAGTTCCTTTTGCCCCCTTTTGTGTGACGGATAGAAAAGTAAGGTCCATCAGTTGTAATGAGACCCAGTACAGTGTAGATGTCGGCTTAGTGGCAGAGTTGAGCATTTCACACCGCCTGGTCCCTGTCATGCTATTGAATTAGATTGATGATGGCAGATTGCAGGGGGCACTAACTGGACCTCAGTGGAAATGAGTGAAGTGTGCAGACAGTCCTAGCAGGCGTTGTGTTGTGAGAACCCTTCACCCTTTCAAAGCTATTGGCAGTAGTCCATTGCTAACAGTGTCCACAGGACTTTAAAGGAACACATGGACCATCTAATTTATGGTCTTGGTAACTTGTTACTGGTTAGGCAGTGGTGACCTCAGTTCTCTTATTGATAAAAAGATGAAGTATTATTTGTTTCCCCTGACCTCTTAAACATGAGGAAACCTCTGTGGGCCTGTCTCTCACTATGACCCCCAGAAGAGCTGAAGTTACCTTTCTTCAGACAGAAGTTTCTGCTGATACAGAATTTGATATGCAGAATCCATTACCTTATAACAGTCTCCAAAGATAAGATGTATCACATGACATAAAATAGCTGTATTAGTCATTTCTAAAATGCTTCTGATCTCCCTCTTTCTGTAACAGCTTTCTAAAGAACGTGAACGTCTTCAGGCAATGATGACCCACTTGCACATGCGACCCTCAGAGCCCAAGCCATCTCCAAAACCTGTAAGTGCATATTGCTTTATAAACAGTAAATAGGCCCGTGAATGAAACAGACTAAGAAAATGAACAATTTAGGAACAGTTGGAAAACAATGAGTGTGATGAAAAATATGGCAATAAAATGAAGCGAAAATGCAATAGCTTGTCAAATTGTATGTTGCTTTAAAAGTAATGCTATCTTTTACAAAATCTGTCCAATCTGCGCCATAGGTGACACTAAACAAAGTACACCCATAACTGCACAAATCACTGCCTTGCACCTGAAGCTAGAAAGAATATCTTGTTTGAAATAGACTCACAGATATTAAAAGGAAAGCTGTTCTGGTGGGGGAAATCTGTAGTTTAGTTGACTCTGCAGCTGAAAAGGGAAATGTTAGAAGGGTAGGCCAAGTGTGCCTCTCTCACAAGGGTACATGCAATATGCATTTTTGTTATTGGTTGGAGGCTCATTTAAAATGCAGACTGCAAAAGACATTGCACTTTGTAATATTTTAGCTTTTGGTTACAGCACAGAAAATGGTCTTACTGAGGGGGCAAGGCTTTATCCTAACACTGATACTCACAAGTGAGAACTGCTTCTTTATTGATTCGGACTTGTAAGCTTTGAAATACTGGTGCTGCATACTTTGTGTATGCTTTGGAATAGAAGTTTATAATGGAAGGCTTTATGGCCATTTAAAATATACTTGCATGCTGGTGAGAATTTTTGTATAAATACTAGAGAAGCTACCCTGCTTTTTCTTAAGGTTATGTTGGACAAAAGATAAGGAGTCCTGGTCTCCAAAGCTTGGAAAGAATAGATGAAAGCAGCAAGGTATTTTTAGAAATTCACTTGTCTATCACACCCTGTTAATGATTACATAAAATGACAGAATAGCCTTGCTCTTATGTTTCCAGAGCTGTACCAAGATTTTAGACAAAGGGCACACTTTTATGCCGATGAATGAAAAGGTGTATCGTTTGTTAATTCCTCAATCTTAACTTCATAGGATAATATATTTTTAAAAAATTCACACAAGTCTTAACTGAAAGTTTTGCTTTTCTATAAGATTTTTTTTACTCAAAATATTTTGTGTTTTCTGTATAATCTGACACTTATGCTTTTTAAGCCTTTTGCCTTATAACTGTTGTAGTAGTCATAGATTATAATCATTCTTAAATATTTTGAGTTAGATAACCAATGTTCCTAAACAGTGTAAAAATGCAGAATAAATTTTCATGCCAAATGATTTGGAAGTCATTCCCAATTTTGAGAATATCCCATATTTGCTGCTGTGAATGCCTAATTCCAATGAAATTTTTTTTCTCATGGTTTTCTATAGTATAATGTAGATAATCACATGACAGAATAATTGTCTCATAAATCCATCAGGAATCTGCTGCTTGTTCTTTTCCAATTAATTATTCAATCAGTAAATTTTTTAAAACTCCAGCAGCATGGTTACATCTACACTAATAAAGAATTTTCAGCCTATAATCCAAAACAGAACCTGAATGAATAATGTAATTGAAGTATTACATTACATAAACCACACATGAAAGAATTGCTAATTGCGTTTGATGGTGGGCAATTAATACAGAATCTTAGATGAGTGATTTAAAATGAAACCACAGTTTAAAGTTCCCTTTGGAACCAGAGATATCTGAAGTGGTGATCTGTACTACTGGCCTCAAATTGGTTTGAAAGAAGAGTGGTCAATACAAAAAAGCCCTAAAATTTATACACTGTACAAAAGAAGCTTCAAAATTGATATGATAGTAGAGATTTATGGTCTCATGTGCAGTGGCTCAGTTGAGACGGCCCACACATTTGATAAATATTAATAGCATGAATTTATTACCAAGGAGAAATGAGCTCTGTTGGTTCATCACTGCACCCTTAACAGCTATCAGTACATGAACACAAGGTGCAACCGCACTGTCTATTATATGACCCCATTTACTCTCTGAATGGTACTTCATTAAATGGTACCTTTTGGCCATGCTATGGATGGATGAAAATCAAAGTTATCAAGGCTGCGAGTCCTGAATAATGAGTTTCACCCAACCTTGAATATATTCAGATGAGCTGAGGTGGCTAAGTGCTCATCCTAGATTTTACATGCTTTTCTTTAGTTAATAATACAGTCTTTTTTATCAGCTCACGATTGCATGCCGACAAACATGTTATGCTTATTATTGCCGGCTGGTAGAATAACCTACCGTAACATTGTAAACATAGTGGTTTGCACACACACTGACCGTAGCATTTCCAGACGTTTTGTAATCTGCGAATAAGTTTGGAACATGTGTTTTCTTCCTAGGTAAATTAAGAAAGAACTTTAGCAGGTTGAGGGGTGTGGAGATCAGTGAAGTATGAATTTGATGTCTGAATGTATCTAAAGAGAATGTATTTTTGAAGTGAACAGAATATCTCACAGGGTAAAAGATATTGATAAATGAGATGAAATATTCTATCACTGTGTCAGTTCAAAGTTTCCCATAATAGCATGTCAAGGCAGATCCACAGTACTTCAGTGCTATATGCTGCTGGGAACATAAAAGACAGGATTTTTTTTAACCTTATGGGCAAGTTTAAACACTCAAAAAATGTATTAAATGTGGCGTTTATCAACATTATCTTACTTTCTCCCCTAATAGTACTTAACAAAGAATAACAGTTTGTGGCTTATTGGGAACAGATGCACTTGGGGATGCCTTGGGGGGTGCCAGTCGTTATTATTAGACTGCTAATGCGCTTCTTCTGGCGGCTGCCCAAGAAAGAAGAACAATTAGCTGGCATATGTTAATTTTTGTTTCCCTAACAAATCTCTCTACTGACTAAATGTGTAAAACAAATCCACAAAGAAAGATCAATCAATGCTGTGCGCCATTAAAAAGAGGTTTATCTTTAGAAGTATATTTGGGATTTGGAAAGGCAGGTGTGATTAAATTATGAACAAAAGCCAAATTATCCTTGTTTAGTCTCTTTAGGCGCAGCCCACCCATCTCCTTGAGCACTTTTACATACGGCTACCATTTATTCCAATGAGATCTCATGCATGGAAGAACTTTCATGTGGATCATGCCCTCTGTACTTTAGTCCAGAGAGAAGCATAACAATTAATGTGAACCATCTTCATATCTGCCCACTCTTAGTATACTGTGAAAATTACTATAGATGGTCTCTGATGAGTATCACCTAAGTATATGGCAGTAATCATTTGGGATGTTGCTTCTCTGAGTATCAATTTTACTAATTGGATGCTATTTATGACAAAAGATGTATGGTAAATATGACAGAGTTAATATGCATTTTTGATAATGAGAAGCAGGGCCTTTCTTGCTGAGGGGTGTAATGAAGGGCACACTGTTAAACAGCTTGCATACATTCTCACCTTCTCTCCCCCCCCCCACCCATCCTGACACCCTCTTTCCAGGGTACATCAGCCATAAGTGACACTGTAATCATAAATTGAAAATGATACTTCCAGAGGAATTGGCAAACTTGACATTTCATTATATTTGTTAACACATGCCACAAATGATTGTTAGTGAAGAAATTCCATTTCCCTCTCTCCATCTCCAATCAGATTTAATTTGAAAATTTTCAGCCTCCTCCGGCTAATTTGCAATTAAGACAATTTTGTTTGAATATGTAGTAATGTCATTACCATTCCACCAAATTAGCAAGGAGACTAAAGGTCAGTGTAAAATTTTCCAGCTGGCTGGAGCCTCTCAGCTGAGATTTGGGACTAGGAGAAGGAAATCCCTCAGCATCACAATAGCAACTTATTTTGAGTCTCAGTTATCTAAAGCAAAGGTGCATCTCTGTGGCTTCAGCAGGAGACTGACCTGCCCAACAAACAGGATCTGTCAATAACAAGTTGTAAGATTCATTTGCAGAGATAACACAGTTGTAGTCAAGTCTTGTTGGATGGGGAAGGTAGTCCTAAGTAACATTGCTGCAGATTATTAGATAACTTCTAATAGCATCCTCTAATTAGAGTTCTTACGAGACAATTTCGTTCTGTAATTAGTTGAGATTGGCTGCTTCCCTTTGCAGCTTATTAGTGGCAACACAGCTGTAGAAATGTATCCACTCTCATTTGTCAGACCTTTTAAATACCCCCTTCTTTTTTCTTTTCTTTTCTTTCTTTCTTTCTTTCTTTTTTTTTTTTGCTTCTGTCTTTCCTGGGCCTTTTTCAGCTAAATCTGGTGTCCAGTGTCACTATGTCTAAGAATTTGTTGGAGACTTCCCCTCAGAGTTTACCTCAAACTCCCACCACGCCAACAGCCCCCGTCACTCCAATTACCCAGGGACCCTCAGTCATCACCCCGGCCAGTGTACCCAGCGTGGGAGCCATCCGAAGACGACATTCCGACAAATACAACATTCCCATGTCATCAGGTGAGTTCCTTGGGGCTAATGAGTGAGTTGACACCTAACAAATCAAAATGGGTGTTGAAATACAATTGGGAGTGAAATGCAAAATCCTAGCATCAAGTCCCGAATTATGCTTTTAATGTATATAATTCTGTTTAGGATCTGACGGCTGAGTATCTCCAGTAAGTTATTTCAAATAGTTTGCCAGTATTGCTAGAAAAACACAATGGAGTTTCCTCAAAGATTCTTAAATTGTTGCCAGGAGAAAGGCAGGGTATACATTAGAAGAAGATGATGATGATGGTGATGGTGATGATGATATGAACATAATAAATAAACATGCAATAAAAAAGATTTGGTAGGTGTGGGCAGTTAAATGGGGAACTGTAAGTCAGATTGAGTATACAAATATACTCAAATCTGTATACCTAAACAATATTCCAGCACAACATTGTTGCTATATTTTAATGGAAAGCGTGATACAGTTGCAAAGTCTGCACATCAAAGACCAAAGCAAGCATTTTTTTTATTTAGCAGCAAGGCTTTGTGCACCCCTCAGCATGTGCTTTTCAGCACCGGTATGCCACAAATGCAAGTAATTTAACTCCTCAAGAATCATTAGTAAACCTGCTCATCAGTAATATTAGTTTTTCACATACAAATAACATTCAACCTTTCCATTTTTCAAACAGAAATTGCCCCAAACTACGAATTTTATAAAAATGCCGATGTCAGACCTCCGTTTACTTATGCAACTCTCATAAGGCAGGTAAGGTGAAAGAACATTAAAAAGTGCCTGATTAAATTAAAAAAGATGTTTTAAGCCGTGATTGAGAAGGGAGCGTAATCAAGACTTTTTAGCAATCCAGTATCTTGTGTCAATGCGGGTCTTGTCTCTCTCATTTCAGGCTATCATGGAATCAGGTGACAGGCAGTTAACACTCAATGAAATTTACAGCTGGTTTACACGGACATTTGCCTACTTCAGGCGCAATGCAGCCACTTGGAAGGTAACCCCCCCCCCCCCCCGCCACTTTTTGGGTGCCAGCAGGTTTAAGACAATGCCTAGCACAGTTCCTTACAGATAGCGCAAGGAACATTTATTTACATGACATAA